ATTGAAACAGATTAACTCTACTTCATGAGCCACATGTCCATGAGAAACTAGTGAGATATTCTCTATTTGAAATTCACATGACGAGCGCGACTCCGCCAATTGTTGAAACTTGAATGTCATTATGGGGGTCCATGAAAGGGATCTAATCCCCGCTGCCTACTTCCCAAGGGAGTCTACATGTCTGCGTTAGCACAGACTTATAACCTGAAACTGAGCACTTCCCCTGAGGTCTACCGCCGGTATAAGCCTCTAGGCTTCGGCACCAAATTGAATTCCATTTCTGGCAACAAACATCCTAATAAAAGAAATCTAAAACCAAAAAACCCCGTAAATCAACGTTCAGCCAATCGCTGATAACGTTACTTTGTCACGCTACGCATTAAAAAAAACTGTCCAATGAGAAAGTAGTTTCGTGCGACCCCGTGTGCTGTTTTATCAGTGACATCAGAATAACCACGTGATTTACAGTTGTTTGATTTTATTTTTTTGTAACCCTAACGCTAACCTTTAACAGAACCAGGGCCTGTAGCAAGATGGGAACACACCAAATTTAAAGTCGTGCCGAATGCTTGTCCACAGAATGGACTACAGTAATACATTTCGACTTTTTATTTTATGTTTTGTTTCGGTTAAAGTTGAGATTCAGTTTCCAGTTCTTTGACAACGGATCAAATCTTGAACTTCTTTTAATTGTTTTTTACATTGATAATTTTTTGTTTATGTTTCGTGAACTGGCATTTTGTTTTACATTTTATTTTCATGAATTTAACAATTATGGTTTGCCTTGAAGGAAAAAAAGTAAATATTTTAGATTGGAACAGAAACTCTTCAATTTAGAGGCGTAGCGTGTGGGGGGGGGGGGGGTACATATGTCCCCTGGCGCCGACCCTAGGGGGCGCCAAAATGAGTCGGAAAAAAATTAAAACCTCATTTTAGCTGCAGTTTTGCATTATAAATATAAGGGGGGGGGGGGGCGCGAATTGAAAGTTTGTCCCCGGCGCCGGTAAGGGTCGCTACGCCTCTGCTTCAATTAAATAATTTAATATCTGGCTATTGTGAATAGTTCTAGCTATGAACTATGCTATACTACCTGCTGGCATGGATGTAAATATGACAAGTTTATTTTCAATGGGTTGTTCGAATGCGATGGGATGCTTGTTTCACATTATCTACGAATCCCCGATCACGTCAATAAAATAACCATACTTGCAATGAAAATTTTTCATTTATGTTTAAAAGTTCGAAATGGGTCCTATCGAATCGCAAGAAGCCCCATCATTGGGATACAAGCTTGCTGTACCCTAAAAAGTAATACAACAATGCTTACTCGAATACATTTTGCCTATTTGGGACAAACCCCCTTCCCCCCCCCTCCCCCCCCCCCCCCCCCAAAAAAAAAAACCACGATGGCTTTTATGGAAGAAAAAAACTGGTCCCGGTAATGACGTCATTATCATTGCAGTGGTCAAGCAGAGAGAACAGCAGCCGTACCGGGCACCACTCTCTGGTTCAGCAACTCCGCCACGGTCGTCAGGTGCGTCCCCCGGGCCGCTGATCAGAAGCAGGACCATGATTAAACAGGTCAGTGAGTGAGTGGTCAGTGGGTGAGGTCAGTGGGTGAGGTCAGTGGGTGAGGTCAGTGAGTGAGGTCAATAGGCTAGGTCAGTGGGTGAGGTCAATGGGTGAGGTCAGTGGCTGAGTGAGGTCAGAGGGAGAGTGAGGTCAGTGGGTGACTGAGGTCAGTGGGTGGGTGAGGTCAGTGGGTGAGTGAGGTCAGTGGGTGAGTGGGGTCAGTGGGTGAGTAAGGTCAGTGGGAGAGTGAGGTCAGTGAGAGTGAGGTCAGTGGGTGGGTGAGGTCAGTGAGTGAGGTCAATAGGCTAGGTCAGTGGGTGAGGTCAATGGGTGAGGTCAGTGGTGGCTGTGAGGTCAGAGGGAGAGTGAGGTCAGTGGGTGACTGAGGTCAGTGGGTGGGTGAGGTCAGTGGGTGAGTGAGGTCAGTGGGTGAGTGGGGTCAGTGGGTGGGTGAGGTCAGTGAGTGAGGTCAATAGGCTAGGTCAGTGGGTGAGGTCAATGGGTGAGGTCAGTGGCTGAGTGAGGTCAGAGGGAGAGTGAGGTCAGTGGGTGACTGAGGTCAGTGGGTGGGTGAGGTCAGTGGGTGAGTGAGGTCAGTGGGTGAGTGGGGTCAGTGGGTGGGTGAGGTCAGTGGGTGGGTGAGGTCAGTGGGTGGGTGAGGTCAGTGGGTGAGTGAGGTCAGTGGGTGAGTGAGGTCAGTGGGTGAGTGAGGTCAGTGGGTGGGTGAGGTCAGTGGGTGGTGAGGTCAGTGGGTGAGTGAGGTCAGTGGGTGAGTGGGGTCAGTGGGTGGGTGAGGTCAGTGGGTGGGTGAGGTCAGTGGGTGGGTGAGGTCAGTGGGTGAGTGAGGTCAGTGGGGTGAGTGAGGTCAGTGGGTGAGTGAGGTTAGTGGGTGAGGGAGGTCAGTGGGTGGGTGAGGTCAGTGGGTGAGTGAGGTCAGTGGGAGAGTGAGGTCAGTGGGTGAGTGAGGTCAGTGGGTGGGTGAGGTCAGTGGTGGGTGAGGTCAGTGGGTGAGGTCAGTGAGTGGGTGAGGTCAGTGGGTGGGTGAGGTCAGTGGGTGGGTGAGGTCAGTGGGTGAGGTCAGTGGGTGAGGTCAGTGGGTGGGTGAGGTCAGTGGGTGAGGTCAGTGGGTGAGTGAGGTCAGTGGGTGAGTGAGGTCAGTGGGTGAGTGGGGTCAGTGGGTGAGTGGGGTCAGCGGGTGAGTGAGGTCAGTGGGTGAGGTCAGTGGGTGAGTGAGGTCAGTGGGTGAGTGAGGTCAGTGGGTGAGTGAGGTCAGTGGGTGAGTGAGGTCAGTGGGTGAGTGAGGTTAGTGGGTGAGTGAGGTTAGTGGGTGAGTGAGGTCAGTGAGAGAGTGAGGTCAGTGGGTGAGTGAGGTCAGTGGGTGAGTGAGGTCAGTGGGTGAGTGAGGTCAGTGGGTGAGTGAGGTCAGTGGGTGAGTGAGGTCAGTGGGTGAGTGAGGTTAGTGGGTGAGTGAGGTTAGTGGGTGGGTGAGGTCAGTGGGTGAGTGAGGTTAGTGGGTGAGTGAGGTTAGTGGGTGAGTGAGGTCAGTGGGTGAGTGAGGTCAGTGGGTGAGTGAGGTCAGTGAGTGAGGTTAGTGGGTGAGTGAGGTTAGTGGGTGAGTGAGGTCAGTGGGTGAGTGAGGTCAGTGGGTGAGTGAGGTCAGTGGGTGAGTGAGGTCAGTGAGTGAGGTTAGTGGGTGAGTGAGGTTAGTGGGTGAGTGAGGTTAGTGGGTGGGTGGGTGAGGTCAGTGGGTGAGTGAGGTCAGTGGTGTGAGTGAGGTCAGTGGGTGAGTGAGGTTAGTGGGTGAGTGAGGTCAGTGGGTGAGTGAGGTCAGTGGGTGAGTGAGGTCAGTGAGTGAGGTTAGTGGGTGAGTGAGGTCAGTGAGAGAGTGAGGTCAGTGGGTGAGTGAGGTCAGTGGGTGAGTGAGGTCAGTGGGTGGGTGAGGTCAGTGGGTGAGTGAGGTCAGTGAGTGAGGTTAGTGGGTGAGTGAGGTCAGTGAGAGAGTGAGGTCAGTGGGTGAGTGAGGTCAGTGGGTGAGTGAGGTCAGTGGGTGAGTGAGGTCAGTGGGTGAATCAGGTATGTTGGTAAGGTCAATAGGTGAGGTCAGTGGGTGAGGTCAGTGGGTGAGTGAGGTCAGTGGGTGAGTGAGGTCAGTGAGTGAGGTCAGTGGGTGAGTGAGGTCAGTGGGTGAGTGAGGTCAGTGAGTGAGGTTAGTGGTGTGAGTCAGTGGTGAGTGAGGTCAGTGGGTGAGTGAGGTCAGTGAGTGAGGTTAGTGGGTGAGTGAGGTCAGTGAGAGAGTGAGGTCAGTGGGTGAGTGAGGTCAGTGGGTGAGTGAGGTCAGTGGGTGAGTGAGGTCAGTGGGTGAATCAGGTATGTTGGTAAGGTCAATAGGTGAGGTCAGTGGGTGAGGTCAGTGAGTGAATAAGGTCAGTGAGTGAGTAAGTTCAGCTTTGTGAGGTCAGTTGGTGAGGTTATTAGGTGTGTGACGTCAGTGTCTGAGTAAGCCCGTATTTTTTTGAAGAAGAATAAGACTATAATCCAACATATCTTTCACACACACACGCAAACACAAAAACATCACAATCACCACCGCCATAACAGTCTGTTGTACGATTAAGTACATAATTATAGGTTGTAAAATTGAATAAAATGTTCTAACTGTATTTTTCCCCTCCCCCTCCTCCCCACACCCAGCTGAGGAGAGGCGAAAGGTTGATGGCCGAACTGAACACGATGAAAAACAAAAGCACAGGATGACGTCACTATACTGGACACATACGTTAGCGGTCTGCTTCATTATCAGGTACCTGACTAAAAACTGTTGTCAGAGGGGGTGGGGGTGGGGGGGGGGAGAGAGAAAGTGGGGGGGGGGGGGGGGTGAGGAGATACGGAGGAGATGTGGGCGAACATCTAGCAGCAGAATGTGGCGGATCATCTTTGGGTACGGTAAGGGTCTTCTAGGGTATAAGGATGGTGGGGGGGGGGGGCGAACCATCTTGGGTAAGGTGAGTAAGGCTCATTAAAAGATCCACTTTTGCCGAGCACCACTTCACCCGCTCTTCTCTCATGACAAGGTACGTAACCAATGTATGTTTACTTTTCGGACAATATTAATTGAGTTGTTTCCTTCACATGGATTATAGAGACTTTTATCTGAAAATCTTAAGCAGATCAGCATCAATATTACATCTAGTTCTAGATTCACTGATTCATTTTTACACTAATTAAAAATATTTTCAAAATGTAAAACAGCTTCTTAGCCGTACCTTTTCCAAAATGATAACGTCAAACTAACCCCCCCCCCCCCCCCCATAATTAGCTGACAAAACATGTTTTACATTTATCAAGGATTTTTCAATTCATATCAAAGGTTTTAATTTTTATACATATTGAACAGATTATACCAGTCATTATCAATTAATTTAATATCGAATGCAGTTATGCTGTAGGATTTGCAGGCCTATACCCACTCATCTGACTAATTAATAAAAAAACAAACTCTTCTTACCTCATCTTTTTATTTAAAGTATAGCAATATTTGAATCAATTACTACATGATATACTCGTGCATTGTAGTCGGAGATCATAAATAGTTTATACAAAATTGTTGACCATTACCGCAGATGATTGGGTAGCAAAAGTTATTAGCAATGTTTAAAAGAGATGACAAAGCATTTAATTTTTTTTCATGATGCAACTATTTCTGTAATAAATAAGTAGTACTATCCTGATGACCTATTTCAATAACAAAATTATATCAAACTTGTTCAGCCATTCTCCCAATACTTAAATGATACAAAATCAACACTGGCTCATCAAATATTTTAATATTTTATTGATCTCATAAATATTATTTGTATTAAAATCTGATGTCACTTGATGTCATTGAATTAACCGGGTCTGTTAGTAAAAAAAAAAAAACTTGAAATGTCAGTTTTGATGTGTTAGCTATCTGTCAGTAGGAGTGTAGGCACTGAGCTGCTGTCAGATGAGATTCTGGAAGGTTTACTTGGGCAATATGCCCTGTCAATGTCCTTCAAAAGCAAAATACTTTTAAGAGCCGGTGGGCACTGAAGTCTTTTTGTGGCCCAGACAACATTGTGGCCCGAGGCCATCATGGCCTGTCTGGCCACACGACGGGCTTGGTTTTCAAGCGACATGACAAAACTGGGCGTGGTCCGCGGCCCGCGGCCCACACCACGCAGGTGGTGGTCCATCTGTTGAAGATGCTGAGGGCGCGGCGTGGGCCGGTCGTTGACCCCGGAGAGTAAATGCTCCTGAAGACTGCTGGAACACACCTGTAGTTTGTGATGTAATTTGGTGAAGTCTGCCGGGGTGGAGTTCATGAACACGCGCACTAAAATGTCCGAGCAGGAGCCGAGGGGGTACCCATGAGCCGCGACTAACTCCATTAGAATCTCCATCCCAGGGCCAGTGGCATCAATGCTGGCACTGCCTCGTTTGACCAACTCCGCCATGGCCATGATGACGACGTTGTGGTGGTTGAGGGCGGGGAGAGAGGACTGCTGACCGCCGACGTAGTGCCAGGGTTTGTTGAGGTTGCGGTTGCTGCAGTAGTGCTGGGGTCTGGGCTGCGTGGCGGCGCCCAGGTCAATGAGTTCTTTGACGATGTCCGGGTTTTGATTGTTGACCGCCTGGTACAGGGGTGGGCCGGAGCACTTGTAGAGGTGTTGTGTGACCAAGTTGATATCAGCCCCATGGTTCACCTGTTCAGACAATTTATTCTTGTGAACATTAAAGCCTTAGAGTAATGATTTCACCTGTTTAGACCAGGGGTCTCCAAACTTTGCAGCCCGAGGGCCGCTTTAACTATCAAATATTAGTTCGGGGGCCAGAGCCAGAGTTTTCTTCAAGATATCTCTTCGGGGTGTTTTGAATTTTCTGGGCAAAGTTTCTCAGCCAAACATTTTTTCCCGTGGACACAAAGACCTTCGCAGGCCGTAGTTTGGAGACCCCTGGTTTAGACAAACTATTTGTTGTGAACCTTAAAGCCTTAGAGTAATGAGTTCACTGTTCAACTCATGGTTTTAAGTTCATTGAGTGCACCATTAAGCTTGACCATAACAGAAAGTAGGCCATAGTGCTGACCAAGCAATCCCTCCATTTGCCAAGGTCATCCAAATAGGTAATTACATCTTACAACTGTCAAACAAACTGTTGCAGAAATTTTTTTCCATTTTGTATTATAAGGAAACTTTCATGTGATAAAAGATATTGAAGAAAAATTTAAAATTCTAAAAACTGGAATCATACGTACCAGGACACGTAGAATATCAATCATATCGTAGTCTATAGTTAAAATTCTATAACTGGAATCATACGTACCAGGACACGTAGAATATCAATCATATCGTAGTCTATAGTTAAAATTCTATAACTGGAATCATACGTACCAGGACACGTAAAATATCAATCATATCGTAGTCTATAGTTAAAATTCTATAACTGGAATCATACGTACCAGGACACGTAAAATATCAATCATATCGTAGTCTATAGTTAAAATTCTATAACTGGTATCATACGTACCAGGACACGTAAAATATCAATCATATCGTAGTCTATAGTTAAAATTCTATAACTGGAATCATACGTACCAGGACACGTAAAATATCAATCATATCGTAGTCTATAGTTAAAATTCTATAACTGGAATCATACGTACCAGGACACGTAAAATATCAATCATATCATAGTCTATAGTTAAAATTCTATAACTGGAATCATACGTACCAGGACACGTAAAATATCAATCATATCGTAGTCTATAGTTAAAATTCTATAACTGGAATCATACGTACCAGGACACGTAGAATATCAATCATGTCGTAGTCTATAGTTAAAATTCTATAACTGGAATCATACGTACCAGGACACGTAAAATATCAATCATATCGTAGTCTATAGCAGTGCTGACTGGGGTCATGCCGTAAATATCAAGAACATTAGGATTAGCTCCCCTCTCTAGCAGCAGCTGAAAGGAAGGAATAGAAGAATATACAGCATGTGATGCTTCACTGAAATAGCCGGCGTAAATATCAAGAACATTAGGATTAGCTCCCCTCTCTAGCAGCAGCTGAAAGGAGGGAATAGAAGAATATACAGCATGTGATGCTTCACTGAAATAGCAGGCGTAAATATCAAGAACATTAGGATTAGCTCCCCTCTCTAGCAGCAACTGGAAGAAAGGAATAGAAAAATATACAGCATGTGATGCTTCACTGAAATAGCTGGCAGTTGTCATTATTACTTCCTTTACTAGATTACATTATGGTTCTCATTGTATGTGGATCTAGTAGATTTAGAAAGTTGAGATTTGGTTGTCTGACAGTTAAAAGCCTCTCTCATGCCAAAGAATGATTCACAAGTTTGTTGTATACCCTGTCTGTTGAAGATTTACTTGCTTGGTGTTGGATTGAAGAACCATGTATAGTTCTTTTTAAATTTCATTTCAACAATGAAATAATTTCTCAGACAACATTTAGGAAACCAATTAAAGTATTGACAGTTTTCTCAAATGCTTCCTGGGTTTATTCTTGAGAAGACAATAATAAATACAGATGTTGCTACATTCTATTGCCAACATATATCGTAGCAAACACTATCATCTCCCATTGAAATCAGGTATTCATTTTAAGCTGTGGGTGACTAGGGAACATTACAGACTAGCTGGGAACTTCATAAGATTGATTAATCAACTTGTCTTTTGTATGAGTCAGTCAGTATCTTACATTCATTAGGCTGCATGTGTTTTGTATAAGTCAGTCAGTATCTTACATTCATTAGGCTGCATGTGTTTTGTATAAGTCAGTCAGTATCTTACATTCATTAGGCTGCATGTGTTTTGTATAAGTCAGTCAGTACCTTACATTTATTAGGCTGCAAGAAAATAGTCTTCAGCACCTAACACTAAACTGCTAGAAATTCTCACAAAAACAGAAAGCCCCCCCCCCCCCCCGCATTACCTTGACAGCCTTGACATTTCTATAAATCAAAGCTTTCAACAACGGTGTCCTGCCCCATATGTCCCGTCTGTCGATGTATTTTGACCGGCTGAACAATTCCAGGAAACAGTTGTGGGTCTTTATCTTGCAGGCTTCGTGTAGGGCCGTCATGTCGCTGGTGTCTGTGGCGTCAATATCCACACCCAAATCAAGGAGGTATCTTGAACAAAAACAATACCTCACTTAACTTTTAAAAGTTCTGATTAGTGTTTACTGTAACTCGGTTAACGAAGACACAAATAGAATATTTAAGCTGCAATTAATATCTTGGCAGCATCAATAAGTAGATCCAGGTTTTTAATGGCAATATGACATTTATCTTTTACACTTTTAATATTGGCAAAAAGTTAAACTATTTTTTTTTAAATGTGAAATTTAATAAATGACAGCAAGTAAGTAAAATAATATTTGTTAGTTTAAACAGAAGACAATAAGAAATTAAAATATTTGTTTTTTTATAAATATTATATTAAAAAGGTAATAAATAAAACATTTATAAGTTTTTTAAAAGTTTACTCTATGTGTAAATAAAAAGGACATATATATTGGCAGTAGAAATATGACATACTTGATAACGTGTGCATGATCATATGTTGTGGCAATGTGGAGCAGTGGTGGAGTGGTGGACACCACCTCAATGCCACCATACTTCATTTCACTGGCTACACTCTGAAGCTCCACCAGCCTCTCCAAATTTCCCTTCAGATTTTAGTTAATTAAATAGTTTAAACTTGGGCAACTTTACACATTAAAACTAATTAACAATTAATTTGGTCATCATGAATTAGCCAAGAGCTTTTACATTAGTCGCCTGCAGTAAGATACTCAACCTTTATTTTAGACTTAAGCTACAGAATGGGATTAAGATGGTGATTGAAAAAGAAATAAGTAAGTAAAGTTCCCTTTTTGTACTCCATTGGGCAAGTGAAGTAAAGTTCACCCATATCTGTGACCTGGGCAAATGACAGAATAGTGTGGTCAGCATTATGCCCAGCTGCTTTTACTATCCCTATCATGAGTTAGGTACCCATCAGAGCTAGGTGAACTCAGGGACGTTTTAGTGACATATACCCTGGATTTTTACTCGAGATTATCCAGTTAGCAGTCTAGCTCTCTACCACTAGGCCACACAGTCCCCTAAGATTGTGACTGAAGTACTTGTAAAACTAGCAGCTGTGGCTATTCCTAAAGCAGCAACAATACTCACCTTTTTCACCGCTTCCACAACATCTGCCACAAATTTTTGATAAACCTCGTCTGTGTGTTCAGCTGTATCTTTGCTCGTCCCCCAGCCCCTCCATAAGGCTTGCAATCTCCCCACAATAGAGCCCATTCTAAAACAACAGGATGTCAGCTCTCCATGTAAGCCAATCTTCTTTACTGTGTTAGATACTGCATGTTACCACGGTAACTGGTAATTTTTCTATCAAACAAAGATGTCTGTAGAAATGCAAGAGGTTATCAGGTTAAATAGTTTTCTCTGTGAACTTGTAAAGTAAAAAAAAAGAAATGATTATAAACAGCTTTAATTTTATGTTTTAACATCTGTTTGGCTCACAAAACTAAACTTCAACATGGACAACATATTTCGATTTTTTTTTATATAGGTCTTTGTCAAATTATATATTTAACAATTAAAGGTAAATGTGGACACTATGGAGTTAGTGTTCTTGTTTAGAGTAAGAAGCACACAAAAAAATACTGCTTGATCAGAACTTGTTTTCTGTAGTTGAGTTTATGTAGGTATTTTTTTACTAGAGCATCCGGCAGGATCATTCTGTCACATTTTACTTTCCCTGACTAAGTGTCTAGGCCTAGTGGGCTCTGGACATCCAACATAGCAGAGATAACAACTTGGCTTACCACATCTTGTGCCATAGCAGTCATTTTATTTTCATCTTAAAATCATCAAGGTTTTCACAAAGAGGCACAACTAGGGGAGGATGGGTGGGGTGTACATGCCGGGGGAGATGACTCTAGAGATATGCTAAATGTTGTAGAAAATAAATAAAAAGCTATTTCTGAGATGTATTATTTTATTATACAACGTCAACATTAAGAGAATACACAATTACTTGGCCTAACAGACTGATTTAACTGTTTCCTATTTCAATAGTGTGACACTAAATAAAAACTGTTTAAGCACATTGCCTGGAAAAACGCCTGGGGGGGGGGGTACAAAATTAATACTCCTCCCCAGGTGCTGAAATGGGTGGCTATGCCTCTGGGCTCACAATGTCCTACCTCCTACCCATGCTTTAAATTAATGCCCTGTTGTTTTTTTGTATCTACTCAATATCAAAGATCTCACAATGGCCAAACTACATCTTACTTATTGCATGTTACCAGTTACTGATATTTCCATTTCTAATCAACAGATGCCTGAAGTCCCCCACTTGAATTCAAACCTACAAAGATTTGTCGGCAACGACAGCCAGAGCACCACCCCACGAGTCCACAGAGAGGAAATCACCAGATCACTTGAGTTCCCAGACCCTAGAAACCCACCTGACCACAGCCTGTCCCTGGGGCCCAGCTCACCCAGGTACCCTTATAACCAGCTGCCCAGCAAGGACATCAGCTCTGACCAATCGGAAGGTTCCAGTGTTACGGGACTCATGTACAGCTCAACTAGTGCCAACCTGCACCAAATGATCACCAATGCTAAAAAACTACATTCCACTTACATCAGAGACAAGTCAAAGGACAGCAACCTTACATTGCCGACCATCCTAAACTAGCAACAACTTGTTTTTAGAATATATAATTTTTAAGTATATTAAAAAAAAATTAAAATTGTACTTTCATAAAAAAAATGTAACATTATGTATAGAAACAACTTAATAACATTGACCGATTTTAAAAAAAAAAGTGTTATGTTGTGTATGTTTGAACATTATAATAATACATTGTCAAGTGATTGTCTTTTTTGGTATTATTTTTTTGTTTTGAACTTTTTAAACAAAAGGAAATTTACTTCTACAACAAAATGGATTGGTAAGTTCAACTGGTAGAGTACCTATCTCCTCCACCTCTACAAGCATCTCAAGTGAGCTCAAGTTAGCCGATGTCAATAGAATATGAACTTTATAAAGCCAGTTTATTTTTTTATGTTTTAATACATTTATTTTGTTTTTTATAAATAGTTTTCTTAATAAAAAAAAACAATACAACAGGTGGTGGCATTTTGGGGGCTGAAATTGATTAATGGCATTTTATATAATGTCAATGGAGAAAATTCCTTTGATATATGAATAATGTTATAAAAGCAGTGTTACGGAACAAATTAAACTTGTTTCTCTATGTGCCACTGTATATTAAACATGAGTGCAAGTCTTTTGTGCATTAATACACTATTCAACGCATTACTCTAAAACTTTGGGAAGATTTTGAGCACACTCCAGAGAAGGTTTTTACTTGTCTTTAAAAATTTTAATACCAGATGGGTAATGTGGGGTTGGCTACACCGCCATAACTGCCTGGGACAAAATGGCCCATACAAACATATCCCCAAAAAAACAACCCAGTCAAAATAGCCCTGTCAAAAGAGACCTGATGTATAGGCTCCCCCCATATTGACTCGCAACATATTGGCTCTTTCCTATGGGCTCCAGACATTTAGGCCATTGGTCAAGTTTTTGAACTACATAGGGAAGCTAGTAGATGACTCTGTCCAAACGGAAGCGAGATGACCAGTCAAAGTCATGGGCAGTTGAACAGGAATAGTGTTAAAGGCAGTCAACCAGGAAATTATATAGGAGTTAGGTTACAGTTGAGGAATTGGTTGTTATGATGCAGGAAGTTATAAATATAGTTGGATAGTTAGATAACAGAAGTAGTTATAAGATAGCAGTTGACAGCAGAATTAGGATAAGGCACTTTTTTATTCTACTAGATTGGCCAGTAATTTTTAAATTAGTCTAGTCCAGTGGTTCTGTGAGTCAGTCTCAGTTGTTCGGTGGAGGTCAAGACACAGTACTAAGTCTAGACTTAGCCTAGACTTTAGTACTACTAGATCTAGGTTTAAAAGTAGAATAAGAATCGGATGATCAGTTAGATCTAGAAATCTAGAACTAGAATCTAGATCTAGTAGTCTCAATTTTTAGTTTTAGTCATGTAGTCTTTTACTTAAGTTAACTATAGTTAGTACAACAGGTAATCTATCGTTTTGGGTACGTAAAATCACCCGCGGCTATTAATGTACGAAAACGTTACCTCATTGTCAAGGCTTTAATAGAAGTATATTGTGATATGTTTGTGTCAAATATCATAGATAAATGAATAATAAACCTAAATCAATGGCTAAATATATCGATATAGGCCAGAAATTAACTTTAAACAACAGTGTCTGAGAGCAAGATTTGCTATATAAACAGCAGCCATTTGTAAAATAGAGTGGCTTCCCCCTGAATCTCACGCTATCTATATATATAATTCTCTTCTGGGAGACGCTAGAAAACAAGCTGTAAGCGCGCCTTGCAGTCCCCTCTCTTCTTCACTAGGCATAAATCAACCTCCTCCACCCCCACATGGTCTGGTGAGCTGTGGTTCACGCTAAATGTTTACAATCATAGAGTCGGGTTTAGTGACGGCTATTAGGGGCAGATAATTTAGTTTGAAACTATTTTAAACTTAGGGGAGGTAATTTAGAGGAGGCTGCTTTCACAGGGGGGTGGGGGTAGGGTAGGGGTTGGGGGAAATGAGGGTGGGGGGTTATCGTCCTTAACTACCAACTGATAGTATTTTAAAGCAAATATTTTCAGTGGCAGCATTGGTACTGTCGAATTCACAAATTATGAATTACTGAAAAGTAGAAAATAAAACAACTAGGGCCTAAATAGCGGCGTATGATATGCCGCGGGTCGGCTCGTAAGCTTATAAAAATACAACTTAAACAAGATGGCTGCTATACTAAATGAGCATCTGTTGGAAACATCGCTAGTCTTCATTTATTACGGAGAAGTTTTAATTCAATTCTTTAAAAACAGGTAAAATGAAACAAGGAAACATGTTTGTATTTTAAAAAACATAATGATAAATCCTCCTCAAAATGTGAAATAATTATTAAAATTTAAGGAGTCACCTGTTTTTCACATTACAAGTCGCGGGCGATTTTACGTACCTAAAATGATAGATTTAAGATTACCGTACAACATTACAGGCCTAACCTAGCTAGATCTACATTACATATCTATGATCTAGAATCTTGATCTATTTTATTTAGTAGTACCTATTTACTGTATTATTTACTAAAGAATTAGTAATACAGTAATACTAATACTGAATAGTAATAAGTAGGCCCTAACTAATAGTGAATACTATTACTAGTATTTACTATTTAGTATTACTAGTAGTAATAATACTATTATTATCTAGTCTACTAGATCTAGATCCACTTGTGATGATTACAGCTGTTCTGTGTGTGTGAGAAAAAAAGACAGCAGCTAAAGGACAAAGTGAACACAATTTACGAGACCAAGGTAGATTACTGTTGACTTTAGCTGGTCCAGGTGTTTACGTTTTCAAGGATGTTATTGTTTTTACAGAAAAGATAAAGTAGCCAGAAAAAAATAAGAAAAAACCGAACAAATATTTTTCTGATTTCTTACTGTTGTATTCGTTAAAATTTCAAGTAAAAATTATCTACATTTTTAAAAGGTTAGTTCGTGGTTTTTTTTGTTTTTTTTTTTTGTTTTTTTTTTAAACGAAACAAGTTCAATGTATTCTAATGAATAGTTGATCGCCCTCAGTCTACACCCTCCCCCTTACTTAATATTTCATTTTTGTTTTTAAAAACATCAATTTCTTTCTAAAATACTAACGTAGCTTTGGTCAACATACAGTTCATAAATCAATTTTTATTACAATTTACAAAAGTATCCATTTCAAACGCCTGGCGCTTGAGTGGAACCCCCAGGTAACGCAGAAGAGAGGGCGCCCAAGACAGACATAGAGGCGGAGTTCTAGAAGAATTGAAGCCAATAGGAATGTCTTGGGAGATTGCCGGGGGTCGGACGAAATGGAACGAAATGTTATGAAACAAAGAGGACTAAGTCAAGTCCAGTCATTCCTTTCAAACGCGAAATAACAAACAGATGATATTCTGATTCTGATTACTTTTAAAATTCAACAGCGTGATGTCGCATATTTTACTTCCCCTCACCCCCCCCCCCCCCCCCCAACTTTTCTTAGATAGCCTTCGCCCTTCGCTATCCATCTTAAGCCATGTTACAAGCTAATAGTAAAAAAGGAATTACTAGGCCCCTATTCAATTTTTATAGGGATAAAATGGGCCTTAGGCAACGCAGAAAACAAAAAGTCAGCTGTTATAATTGCAGAAACATATGGGTTTTTTTTAATTTAGTTTCTAAGGGGTCGTCCATAAATGACGTCACACTCGTAGGGGGGAGGGGTGGTCCGTAATTTTGTGACGGTGTGATGAGGGGAAGGGGGTCAGATGGTGCGACGTCACACTTTTGCATAATAAAAAAGCAAAGTTAAAAAACGAAATTTAGACGTTATTTCGCGTTTTAGAAAACTGTTTTAATAAATTGTAATAGGAATTGATTAAAATACTCTATTTTGACTGAGTTCAGACAAGATTTTGGGGGAAAAATATCAATGTTTAAAAAAAAATTCAACTGCAATTTTGAGGGGGGTTTTAGGCTGAAGTGTGACGTCATTTTAGGGGGGGGGGGGGTTCTGGCTTTTTGTGACGATGTGTGACGGAGGGGAGTGGGAGGTAAAAATCGTCAAAAAAGCGTGACGTCATTTATGGATGACCCCTAATATAAATTGAATATTTAATATAACTTATATCTATTTCAATTTAATTAACACCCCCTCCCAGGAAATATTAGATCTAGTAGATCTAGTAGTTGGTGTTCGCTAAAAATGAAGGCGTGTTCCGCTCTCGTTTTTTTTTTAGTTTTTGTTTCAACATTTGATGTTTATGGATAGTTTGCCCGTTCTGTTGTTTTAATAAGTAGGTCAGTTGGTTGCTGCTATCTGTCCACCTACTTCAGCCCCGCCCCTTCCGTTGTAAACATGGTGCAGTCATCATGGAGTGCCAATGTATATCGTGTTTCTGTGTGTGTGTTAGAGAGAGTGTATGGGTCTGTGTCTGTGTGCGCGCGCGCGTGTGTATATGTGTGCGTGCGTGATATCCAGCTGTAGCCGGTGCTATATTGTTATTTTCATTTATTCAGGCATCAAACATCAGTGTAACGTCAGTCCCTGTAAGATGTTCTCCCAAGCACTGAGTCGAATTTGTTTTCATAATTTTTAAACAAGCGAGTGGCGCCTCTCTTTGGGAAAATAAAAGTCACAAAACGAAGTCATGTTACATTGGGTCATCCATAAATGACGTCACGCTTTTTTGACGATTTCTACCTCCCCCCATTCCCTCCGACACACATCGTTACAAAAGACCCCCCCCCCCCTAAAATAACGTCACACCTCAGCCTACAACCCCCCCCCCCCCCAAATTGCAGTTCAATTTTTCTTAAAACATCTATCTTGTCTGAACTCTGTCAACATATAGTATATTTATCAATTCCTATTACAATTTATTAAAACCGTTTTCTTAAACGCGAAATAACGGCTCAAACTCGTTTTCTAACATTGCTTTTTACTTTCTCGTATATACGTAGTATAGAGAAAGTATTGTAATCGTGCAAAAAAAAAAAATCGAGATTTTTTTGCAATCTTGTCCGTATGTCTGTGTGTGTGTGTGTCTGTGTGTCTGTGTGTCTGTGTGTCCGTGTGTAAACACGATAACTTGAGTACCGTTACAGCTAGGTTGATGAAATTTCATATATAAGTATTTTATCAAAATCGTAGATCCGTATC